TTTCCCACCTCTAATCATCTATTGCTTGTTCTTAACTAACCATGACAGAGAAGAAGATAGCAGCAGAAAAGCCACTACTATCTCAGAAATCATATTATCCATGACTATAGATATCAGACATTGATTAGATATTGGTTTGGAAACATCTTTCATTAACCTTTCAAGCAATGTAATTATACTGAATTTTAATATTGCAATTGTATAAAGTTGTCATACACTTAATTCCAAGAACTCTGGAAAACCAAAAATTCTAAAGTTTAGTGAATGGTCTTGGGTAATTATAAACTTCTTAGAAATACAGTGGAAAAATCACTCAATATCTTACTCTTGCATAAAATGATGCATTTTAAATTGCTTATAAAAGGTAACACTCAATTACTCAGCTATAAAGAATGATAAACTCGAAGACTTTATATTTAAGTGGCACTTTATATTAAAGTGCCACTTTAAGATATACTCATAAGTGAAATAAACCAGACACACATGTGTAAAATATCATATAGTTTCCCTAGTATAAGAACTCAAAAGAAGAAATACAAATAGAAAGGTATAATACAACTAAAAGGAAAGCAAGAACTTGAGGACTAAATAATTAAGAGAGGGAAAGGAGATGAGCTAGGAAACATGACAGTGGCAAGCCATACAGTTATATGTAGAAGATGGGTAAGGCAATGATCCTGAGAATCTTCAGAAGATTTTTGAATCTAGCAGTTAACTGGAATGATTCTCACCCTGACTACCTATGTATACTAACACCTGTGAACTAAGCAACTGCACTGAAGATGGCAATTTGTAATGGTAGGTTCATGCTTGGAGTGCCTGTCATTCTGGTCTTCTGAATACGGGCTGCTTGTCATGACATGCCAGTTGCTGCCATGCGGTCTCTCAGGCAGATGATTGTTCAAAAAGAAGGGGGTGGTGGATGAAGGCAGGAGACAGGAAAAGGAACATTGCGGGACTGTCCTGCTACAAGGTTGTATATGGTGAGATTTTTGGACTTATGTGTAAACATAAGAATTTTATAATTCTTTATGCCTATTTAAAAAAATATTTAAATTTTTAAAATGTTTTTTCATCATATTGTGTAGGGACTTAAAGTTCAACATATCAATACTTGATGAAAAATACCTTTTCCATATTATGCCTAAAATGTTTGATATTCAGACAGATAGTGAGATTAAGCTTAACATCCTAGGTTGTATGGTAATAACAATAAGCTTCTCTTCTGGAGGATTAATAACCTAAGTTTGCAGACCAAAATTAGAGAAAAAGGAGGGCTGCAAGGAAAGCCAACATTTTGACCCTAGCCTTTCAAGGTCAATTAAGGCTCAGGACATATGAGAACTTGTACTGTAATGTCATGAAACTCGGTAGTGTACCAATTTTCTGATCAAGGACATTATGTGTCCAAAGAGGAAAGTGATCGATGATGTAGAGTGTGCCTAAGGAGAGTCACATGGAGAGAAAACGTTCTCTCAGGCTTTCACAGAGAGCACATTGGCCAAGCAATGGCTGTGACTCATCCACATGGCTGACACTGACAAACAATCTGAGGTACAGGGTCTCAGGATAAATCTTGAGGGGATTTCACTGACCTTATCAGACCGAAAAGCTACAACTCTTGTTGCATAGGTCCTGCTTTACCTTGGTCTTAACCATCCAGCAGAAAAGTATAAAAACGAAATATAAGAAGTAAAGCCATGCTGTTATGTTGAGCTATAGGGGACTCAGGTCAACAATTTCTGGCATTGCCAGTGAAGTGGAAGAACCAATACTATTATGGACTACTGGACTCTTTTAGAATACTTTGCTGAGTTAACACACCTATAATATTCAAATGACGGAACTAAAAAAAGGGGATACAGATGAATGTCCATTTTGTATCTGTGTATTCAAAATGGTTAGGATAGATATATAGTTACATTATCTTAATGGATAGAGGGATTTATTCTAATAGTGTTTATAAATAGGATGTCATGTCTGCATCTTGTACAGCAAATAACCACTAGGAAGAGAGTATGCAATGTGTTAATTATTGAAACTGTCCTACCAATTTGATTTGAAACTGTCTCATTGCTATTTGTTTCTCAAAGAAATTATGGAAAAAAATAAATAAAATAAAATAAAATTCTGTATAAAAAAGGTAGCACTCAAGAATATAGAATTGTAGATTATGAAAACTGGAAGGGACCCTTACACCACTATTGTTCTCACAAAGACTCAGAGGCATTCTCACAGTAGCACCCATCAGCGAACTTCCTTGTTTACCTACCTCTTATTACTTGTGCTGCCCAGCGGGCCTGAAGGTCAGTTGTGGGTATGGCAGCCCCAAGAGACTGAATAAGGCCAATCACAGCAAAGGTTGGCTTCTCTAGTTGAGGAGGGAAGATGCCTTTAAACAAGGTGACCTCATTGTTTCTGCTTTTGACGATAGATTCATCAAGAAAGGGGTAGGCATAGCCGTATCCTGTTGCAAAGATGACACAGTCAATGGCCTCAAATGTGGTCCCATCCTCAAAAACGGCGGCTGTCTCTGTGAACTTCTTCACGTTAGGCTTGATGGTCACAGTGCCACACAGGATGCGAGCTGGGAGCTCATCATTGAAGACAGGCTCTTTCCTCAGGGTTCTGTGTGTGCAATAGACGCAGTCATTAGACGGTAAATTTCCCCTTTGTCTTATTAGTTCCTGTATGAATTGATAAGGAAGGAAACAATTGCCCAAGATTTTTTTTCCTGAGCAGGGAATGTTATCAATGTGGGCCTTTGGTATACTTGCTATAGTCTTTCTCTTTTCTTTCTTCTTTTATAGAGAGAACTCTCCATAAATCTCAAAATAAATACCTGTCCCGTTCCTCTAATGAAGCCTTTATCAGGAAAAATCCTAACAGAGGGCCAGCCAAGTAGCTAAGTGGATTGAAGCGCCTGCTTAGGCAGTTGCAGTGGCAGGGATCGATCCTTAGTGCGCAGTGCTGGCCCTACCCCCAGGGCATGCTGAGACGGGGATTGAGACTGGGCGTGGTGGCATGCGCCTGTAAGCCCAGCTTTTGGGAGGCTGATCACAGGTGGGTCACTAAGAGTCCAATCTACTTAGTGAGACCCTGTAGACTTGGTAGATCCTGTACTGAAAAGTACAAAAAGAAAAAAAAAAAAAAAAAAAACTAATGGAAGAGTACCTAATGCTTGAATTTTTTGTTTGCTACTTATGACTTGTGAAGCTTGATAAGATTGGGGTTTCTTTTTTATTTATTTTTTATTTTTTATTAATTTTATTGAGAAACAAATAGCAATGAGACAGTTTCAAAACAGGTTAGTAAGACAGTGACAGTAATTAATACATTGCATATTGTTGTCTTCGTAGTAGTTAGTCGTAGTACAAGATGCAGATAGGATATCCTGTCCAAATACAAATCTTTCTTCTCATTGAATTAAGAGAAAGTAGCTGTATATCTACCCTAACTAGTTTGTATATACAGATACAAAATGGTCCTTCCTTTGTATTCCCTTTTTTTGTCTAGTTTTGTCAGAGATGGGTATTCCATTACATTCTGTAGGGATTTAAAGTTTAACAGGTCAATACTTGATGGAAGATTGGGGTTTCTTAAATCAACTGTGCCTTATTTTTTTTATTGGGAATAGGAAATATATACATATATACATATATATGTATATGTATATGTATATGTATATATATATGTATATATGTCAGAACATTGGGAGACTTAGATAATATGAAAAATGCTACAGTCCCTAGTACATACATGGTGTTAAAATATTTGCTGCTATTCTTATTCTTGTATACTCCAAAATGGTCACTGCAACATAAAGAAAATCAAGTAAGATGAAAAGACTGAAAGGGGAAAGCTGTAGCAGATGGCCCCTCACTGAGGACCGATCTGGAGCGCCAGGCAGACAGCAGCACAACTGAGGTGATGGAAGGGACACAGTGAAACTTAGATAAGGCCAGCAGGAGGAGGAGGCCAGCTGGTAGCTTTGACCATTGGAAATCTGGAAAGAGAGTTTCTGACTTTTTTACCCCGTATGTATCTATGTCAGTGTGGACTTAGGAATGGGTGTGAATGAAGGATTTACTGTGTGTGTGTGTGTGTGTGTGTGTGTGTGTGTGTGTGTGTGTGTGTGTTTTAATGCCTGTGGCTGTTGGAGCCATGCAAGGAAGTCACAGGCAGGGTCCAGGGGGAGGAAACAGCCAGACAGTGAGACTGGTTGGAATCCTGGCTGGAGAAATGATGTAACTGACCGCATTCCCCGCCTGCCCCTTATTTTAAACCTGCCGCCACTGGTCTCTCCTCTCCCATCACCACCTTGCAATTGCCCTTCTCGGTGCCATCTGAATCATGGTGCCAAACTAAGTGGTCCACTCTCGCTTATCATTTTAGTCGGCTGATGAGGAGGAGCACTTCCTGCTGCTGAAGGTTCCCTGCCCTTCGGAGATCTGTCTTCATCTGGCCTGCAGGTTGCCACCTTCTGAGCCTTTTTTCTACCTATCTGGGTTTTTTTTTCTCAGCCTCCACTGCTGATTGTATCTCCACCTTATCTAAACCATGGTGTGCCTGAGGGCTCAGCCCTCAACCTTTTGCCTTCTCCATCAAATTTAACCATTTTTCCTATTTTGTAGGTCTCACTGCCACTCAGTATTCTTTCTACCTGAATATCTAACAGGCATTCTGATTTTGATATGTATAAAACTAAACCCCTCCTCTTCCCACAGTCCCTCTATCTCAGCAAATGTCAACTCCATTCCTACTCAAATTAAAACATTTGAAGATATCTTCGATCCCCTTTTCACTCTCACATCCTGTATCCAGGTTTACAAAAGTTCTGTTTAGGCCGTGCTCACAATCTGCCCACTTTTGACCATTCACTGCTGACAGTCCTAGTCTAAGCCACTATCTGTCACCTGAGAGGTGTTTTTCTTTTTTTTTTTTAAACAATAGCTTCTTTTTATTAATTAATTAGATAGGGGGCCTTGCTACACAGCTCAGACTTATAGTGATCTTCCTCTCTCAGCTTCCCCAGTGCTGGGATTACAGGTGTGCACCACCAGGCCCACTTTTGGGACTGATACAGGGCCAACATGGCATGCAGTTCCGGGGGTTGAACTCAGGTCCTTGGGCTTGCTGGGCAGGCACTTAGACTGCTAAACTATTTCCTTAGCCCAACAATAGCTCCTTAATTGGTCCTTTCCTTCTGCCTGTGGCCCACTTTCCTACACTGGATGACGATCATGGGAGTTACAGTGTTCAGTGTTAATTTAGATCTTGGCACTAATGGGATCAGATGCTGGTGGCTTCTTGTCAGTTTCGGAGGAAAAACCAGACTCCTTATGCCTCACCTGGTTATTGTCATATCTCTGGTTGCTCTTCTGGTGCTCCCATCTTTCTCTTTATTCTGCAAAAGGAGAAGCTCATCCCTGCTGTTGATCCTGCTAGCCATGCCCTTAAAAAAGTGATGTCCTGGCTGTGTCCAGTGGCCACCCTCCCTGGATATCCTCATGGCTCATTTTCTCTTCTCCTCTAGGGCTCTGTTTAGGAGTCTTCTTCCTGAGACTCACTCTGAAGACTCTTGAAAATTACCCTGCTGGCACTTGCAGTAACCCTTCCCTCCTTTGTTTTCTCTCCATAGTGCAAATTACCATATGCCCTCCTGCTACTTTTACTTTTTGTTTCCTGGTACTATGCTTAGAAAGGAGGTTTCTATCAATTTGATTTGAAACTGTCTCATTGCTATTTATTTCTCAATAAATTTATGGAAAAAATAAAAATAAAATTAAAAAGACAAAAAAAAAAAAAAAAAGAAGGTAGGTTCCATGAGGGTAGGATTTATACTAGCTCCTTATTTATTGCTGTATCCACAAGACTTAATACTTAACAAGGTACATACTAAGTGCTTAACTTATATTCCCTGAATTAATGAATCCACCTTGATGGAAACAGTTGGGTTTTTCACCTCATGTCAGGGTCAGTTCATACCGTGTGTTAAGCCTGAGAAGTTACAGGAGAAAGCCAAAGATGTAAGACTCATGGTTGAAGTTCAGAGGATTCCACTAAGGGCACGGAATGAGAATGTCGTTCAGGGAAAGTTCTCTCACTTTGTTGAAACTGAGTTTGACATTAGATGTTAGGCATCAAAGCAAGCAGCTAAGAACAAAGGGCTCAAGAACCAGTAGGTCTGGGTTGGCTTTGTCCAGTCTACACTCTTCCACTCTACCCGTGAGGCTATGGAAGGCTGCACTCCGGGCTGGTTTTGGATGCTGTCTGTACTTAATGGCTGTAAGACTTTGGTAAAGTCATTGACTACATTGAACGTCTGCTTTCTCAACTATAAAACAGGGATGCCAATAGAGCCCTCTTAATAAGTATGAGAATAAAATGAACTAATACACATCAGAGACTTTGTCGGCTTGATAAAATTCTGACGTGTACTAATGATTGACACATGGTTACTATTATTATTATTATTATTGTAGAAACTCATGGACTACATATTATTATTAACTTTCTGGCTAAGCAATTCTGATAAGGAGGTTGTGTGGAAATCCCTCCTAATATTTGCAGTTCTTTAATCTTCTGACATATGAGATCTGATTACTGTACCAACATTTTGATTTGCCTGGAAGTTGCAACACACACTAAGAGTCGTTGACCCTGAAGTGAAAGTCAGGTGGTCCATTGTATTTGACTCTACATTACCCATTTAAAGGCATCAGTCCATAGTTCTCGTGCTTGAACCTTGCATTCATCTGCTTCACATACCACCAGTCAGAGACTGCTGCTGGTAAGTTGTTCTTTAAGAAGTTTTGAAATCGAGTGACGAACACCATATCCCAAGGATAGCCATTATCCCAGACCCGGCTCATCACCCAAGATCCACTTCTGGAGCTGATCATGACCTTCAAATATCAAACCAATCATGAAAGTGGTGAGACTTGCAGTGGACACTAATACGCTTCCCAAATGCCCCCTTTGAGCAATTTAATACTCTAGCTCTTGGAATTGTTGCCATTAGGAGTGTAGCTCCTTAGCTGTCAGCCTTTTGGGGCCACTTTGGCTGAAGAAACAGGCCTCACTCAAGTTCTTACACACTTTCTGCTACTTAGTTTTCCTATCAAGTGCCCTGCCCTCTCAGCCACCCCATATCATGCAATCACAAGCCTTTCTGCTCCAGTAAGATGGTCCCCTATGCACATGGGACGCAGTACCTGCTCTGCTGTGTGGCTGAGTTCTGCAGCAATGTCACAGCCTGAGTTTCCCAAACCAATCACCAGGACACGCTTCCCCTTCCATATTCCTGGCTCCTTATAGTCCCTGCTGTGGAAGCATTTGCCTTTAAAATCACTTAGTCCTGAGTGAAAAGTGAGAGACACAGTAATTAATTTGACTTACATTAAGAAAGGAAGCAAACTGCTTTAATGGAGATCAACTAGTATGCAAGCACAGACTCCAAAATATGGACTTCTAGCACTTCAAATATATTAGCTATATCCAACATATATTTTAATTTGACTTGTGTGTTCCTCCTTTTCTTCCAAAAGACACAATCCTGGTTTGAATATAGTTGAATTACAACACTCTCGTGCCGGAAGTGTGGTTGCCAGGGTACTGGAGTGGAAGTGACTAGCCACAAATGTATTCATTCTTGTCAGATATATACATGGCAGGCTTACCTGGGAAGGACTCTTTTGGTATGTTGGGGTACACATGATGTCCAGAACAAACCATAACAGCGTCAAAGACAGCCGACTCTTTTTTACCACCTTTTTCTGTGATAACCTCCCATTGGCCAGTAACCGAGAAATCAGGACGTTTAGTTACGCTGGTTACGAGTGTCTGTGAGAAGTATACAGAAAAAGCTTTCTTGTCTACACAAATAGGTAGATCTGGGAACAGCAGTATGACAAAAATCCTTAACAAATAGCAGCTTAGGATAATGCTAAATTCGGTAGTCAGGTAGAAGTAAGTTACAAATTGAAAATTGTCCTGGAATAAATCAAAGTATTGCATATACACACCCATTCAAGTACACACACACACACACACACACACACACACTTTATTCTTGCATGCTTTCTTATGCATGACCACTATTTTCTGAGTACAAGAGTGACACTCCTTTGAAATATGACATGACAGTGAATTCAACCATGGTTTACAAAAAATGCAAAACAAATGCAAGTAATCTTCTGGCTAATAATTTTTGTAGTGGTTGCGACCTCCTCCTTTATCCCTCTAGCTATTTCCTTTTTCAGTATTATTACTGTATTAAAATAAGACACTTCTATATTCAGGATATAAATTTTATCTCCAACTCTATTGTATATGTTTCACCTAGGAAGTTTGTTGAAGTCCTCACCTTTGGGCCATGTTTCCAGATCTTATAGTTTTGTAAGTTGAGTATAAGTCACAAAATTTTAAATGTCTAGCCCTTCCCAGGTGATGTGATGCTACCCTTATTAAGATTACCATTAAATATTTATTCACAGCTCTGCAGCTAGTTGTTGGTATCTTGTGATTCTTCTGATTATATTGAAAGAAGAATCTTGATAGTAATTCTTCTTTAATACCTTATTATGTTGCATTTTATACATATTAGAGGATGAACATACATATATGTAAGATGTCTTTACTAATGAAAAAGGATAAAAAAAAAAAACCAGGAGCTTATGACCTTGCACATAGTTTGTTTAGAATAACTCTGGCATTGTTAGCTTATGTCATTATAGTTCACACATTCTAGAAATATACTTTCCATTTGTTGCTATCTTTGGAAATATAATCAATTTATATAGAATGACTTTACAGGCTAGTTCCTTACTTAATTCTAATAATGTAGACTCTTTTGGGTTTATTGTATATAGCCATATCATCTGCAATAACGATGTTCCTCTTTGAAGTTATCATTCTCTTTCCTCTGCTCACTGTGTTATTCCTTAAATTTAAGTCTACTGGAAGGAGTATTAATAATTAGGAATTCTTTTTTTTCTTTTTCTTTTTTTTTTTTTTTTCGCGGAACCGGGTATTGAACTCAGGCCCTTGCGCTTGCCAGGGAAGCATTTATTCCGCTGAGCCATCTCCCCGGCCCCAATAATTAGGAATTCTTACCTTTACTGGATTTCATACAAAAATGCTTCTAACTTTCTACAGTTTAGTACCACACTATTTAGTAGCAATATAATATAAGCAACATAATAAAATTTTCCTAGTAGTTTTATTTAAAAGTAAAAAAACACAAAACATTATAATTGAACCCACCCCATCTATTATAGTAGTTTCCACGTAATCAAAGTAAGGTTATTAATGAAACATCTTACTTTTTCTTACAGGAAGATATTGAACTCCTCTATACTTTACACATCTAAATGTGCTGTGGTGGCTGGTGGCCACCACACTGCAATAGTGCAGATTTAAGACAATGCATTTTTCTTAGTCAAGAAACTACATTCTGGTCTCAGTTTGGAGACAATTTTTTCCCTTTTCCAATATAAGAGTGTTACATTTAACGAATGTGTTAATAAGCATATTGCTTTCTTCTTTTGAAGATTTGTTTGTGAATTACATTCTTACATTTATAATACATCAAAATACTCTTCCATCTTTGGGCCAAATTCAATTCGATAAAGGCTGGTGTAGACTGGTGATTATTTTGAACAGTACAATGGTCGCAGTTTTAAAAGGCTTTTGGGTTTATTTTAGTGAAGGAGGTGGACCTATAATTTTACTATTTCATATTATCCTTTCTGAATTTGATAGTAAGGTTATAATGTTATCAAATTAGGCTGTAAGTATTATTTCATTGCTTAGCATCTGAAAGAATTTACAAAATACTGAAGTAATCTGTTCATTCAAAATTTTGAAGTAATCACCAATAGAACTTTTCATTTTCCTTATAGTAACAAGTTTAATTTCTAAGTTAAAATAAGTATAATTATTTGTTCAGATTTTTTATTTCTTCTTTAATTTTTGCAATTTTTTAAAAAATTTAACCAATTAAATTATATAAAATTTTTTATCTATATATCTGTCAATCATCTATCTATTCCACTTTTTCTTTCCCAGTGTTTATTTGTACCTTTACCTGTATTTTTAACTGTCAGTTTTTATTTTCCTAAACTTTTCAAAGAGTGAACATTTAATTTGTTTTCTATTTTAGTTAATTTCATTTATTATGCTCCCCGATTTCTGTTTTTTAGGTTAATTCTAGTTCTAGCAAATTTCTGAACTTTATCTTATTTCTTTTAAAAACTTCTCATTTTCAATCACAAGTATTTAAATTTATGACTTCAATACAGTTGAAAAACAGGTTTTTTTGCTTCCCAAAAGTACTGGTATTTATTTATTTATTTATTTTTATTTATTTATTTTTTTTTTGCGGAACCGGGCCATCCAGTAGAAAAGTATGAAGACGAAATATAAGAAATAAAGCCATGCTGTTAAGTTAAGCTGTGGGGGACTCAGGTCAATAATTTCTGACATTGCCAGTTAAACAGAAGACCCAATGCTATTATGGGCTACTGGACTCTTTTAGAATATTTTGCTGAGTTTACACAGCTATAATATTCAGTAACGGAACTTAGGAAAAATGGGGTACACCGTTGAATGTCCATTCTGTATCTGTGTATTCAAAGTGGTTGGGGTAGATATATAGTTGCATTGTCTTAATGACTGGAATGATTTGTTCTAATGGTGTTTGTAAATAGGATCACAAGTCCGCATCTTGTACAGCAATTAACCACTAAGAAGAATATATGTAGTGTATTATTTGTTGAAACTGTACTTCCGATTTGATTTGAAACTGTCTCATTGCTATATGTTTATCAATAAAACTGTAGAAAAAATAAATTAAAAAAAAGAAAATTAAAAAAAAAGTACTGGTATATAGAATCTATATTAATGTTTAGTTCTATTTTAAGTTTTTAATTAAATTTCTTCTTTGCTCTATATGCTATTTAGAAAAATGTTTAATTTCCAAATTCATAGATGTTTGATGCAGCTATTTCTTTGTTACTGATTTCTACTTCTGTGTCATTTTGGTCTAAAAACTGTGTGGTCAGGTTTTGTGGCTTGGTCATGTATTCTTTTTTTTTTTTTTTGGCATGTATTCTTGAGAAGTTATATTTGCTAAATCTGGGATTAAAGAAGCCAGATTGTTAAAAGAATTATAGCAATTAAGAAAGGGACACTGAAATGAGACAAAAGGGAGCATAGAGCAACACCTATGGATGTCATCCTGTGTCTAATGCTAGCTTAATGATAACATCTTACCTCAAATTGTATGTATTTCAGAAGCTCCTTCTGTCTGGCAAATGCGACAATGTAGTCTTGAAGCTTGCTGTGGCATATAAAGTTGGGGAAGTCATCAGGAAATGGGACATCAGGAAAACACATCATCTCTTTGGAAGAGTTGGTAAAGACTGATTTGTAAATACTAGCCCTGCCCTCCTCTGCGTGGTTCTGTGAATGAAGGGGTTCAGATGGAAGACAGCAGATAAACGACTATGTCAATCAAGTTCAGAGCCAGGTCTAAATAATTACACTGATTTGAGTCGTCCTTTACACACAAGTAAATTCAATAAGAAGAAGACACATATATACATTCACTTAAATAACTAATGATAATCAAAGAAACTTATCAAGAGAATTGGTAATAGAGAAGAATATGTATTTATTAACATACCTTCTTTTCTAAGGAAAACAATTTATCTTTTGAGAAATATATAACCAAAACTTCATCCTCTTGAAGCATTAAATATGATGACATGTGTTTTCTAAATTTTAACGTTCTATGATTTCATTGTTTCAGCTCATGGATATGAACATCTAGTAATCAATTTATAGGAAGTAAAGCCATGTTGTTATGTTGAGCTGTGGGGGACTCACGTCAATAATTTCTGACATTGCCAATTAAACAGAAGACCCAATGCTATTATGGGCTTCTGTACTCTTTTAGAATATTTTGCTGAGTTTACACACCTATAATATTCAACAACGGAACTTAAAAAAAATTTGGGGTATAACTATGAATGTCCATTTTGTATCTGTGTATGCAAAGTGGTTGGGATAGATATATAGTTGCATTCTCTTAATGAATAGAATGATTTTTTCTAATGGTGTTTGTAAGTAGGATCACAAGTCTGCATCTTGTACAGCAATTAACCACTAAGAAGAATATATGCAGTGTATTATTTGTTGAAACTGTACTTTCGATTTGATTTGAAACTGTCTCATTGCTATATGTTTATCAATAAAACTTTGAAAAGAAAAAAAAAAAAGAAAACAATGACAGGTATGTCTGTGTTATGATTTGTGTCTAGTTGTCTCCCAAAGCCTCATGCAGTTCTGGGGTGGACTTCTACAGTCTGTGATTAATTCATGATCCAGCGCTTGGATTATGGGTCTAAGTACTGCTGGGATTGTGGGTGTGAGTGCTACGCCCAGCCTGGGGTGATCAGTCTGAATGCAAAGTAAGGGCAATTGACTCGCTCTCTGTTGCCATTCTTGCTGTTACTCCTCCCTTCTGCTCTTGATGTTTTTTGCTTCTTTTTACTACAATGAACTGCTGCCCTCTGCCATGTGCCACTCTGCCTTGGAGCCTGCTGAGTATGGACTGGAACCTATAACTGTAAGCTAAATAAACCTTTCCTTCCTTCATCTTGAGTGTTTTGTAATTGTCCCAGCAATGAGGGAAAAGTAACCAAGTCATTCTCCAAATATCTATATGATTTGCAAACATGGACATCTTTAAGTGGGATCTTTCAAAATTAATCCTGAAATTTCTACCACGTATAAAATAATGTAGCTATTTTGAACCAAGCACATTGAATTTATAAGCATTGCATGCCTTTGGAGCATTTATATAGGCAATAAATTGGAAATGTAAAAATATCTGAATTGTGCTAACACTGAGAAGGCACAGAACCCTGCTAATGAAATCTTAGCAGAATCATTAAGTGACAATAAAAAAGAAAGAGACCGTTGAAGAAAGAATGATCATCAATGAGAAGATCAGGGCATTACTGTGGTTCTCAGCTATAGCTGTACATGGGAATAAAATGGCACGGGGGTGGCTTTAAAAAAAAATCACAGGTCTCATGGTCAAAGGACTTGATTTAGTTGCTCAGGAATTTTAAATCCTCCCCAGTGCTAATCCAGCCAAGTTGGCAGTCATACTGTGTAGCAAAACAAACAGAGGTTAATGACCAACAAACTCAGCAGAACACATCTTCTGACACATTTGTTAGAGCTGGTGTTGCCATGCTGCAAGATGCTGGAGTAAATAAAAGGCATTACAGTTCAGAAAACACGACATGCTTCACAGGTAAATCTTAATTTAGCTTTCTTGAACCACAAAGATACTTTATGACTAGGCCACTTGTCTAGGTGAAATGTCTTTCTTAAAACAGAAACACTTAAGCTCCTGGGAGATAAAATAGGTGAAACTCTTGAAGTCATAGGTGTTGGCATGGACTCTTTGAACAGAACCTTGTTTGCACAGGAAATGGTACCAAGAATCAATAAATGGAGTCACATCAAATTAAAACTTCTGTACAGCAAAAAAAAAAGAAAAAAAAAAAAAAGCAACCAACAGAGTCCCATTTCCTGATTTTTTGCCTGCTATGCTTCAGATAGAAGATTAATATTTAGAATATATAAGGAGCTCAAAAATTAGTCACCTCCAAAATAAAAGACTTAATGTTAGGCAAGTGAAATGAAAGGCACAGAAGAAATACAAATAATCAATAAATGCATGAAATGCTCAACATCGCTGGCCATGAGAGAAACACAAATTAAAACACAGTGATTTCCATGCAGAAAGAATCGTCATCATCAAAAAAATCAAACAATAACAATGATGGAAAGGCTGCAGGATAAAGAGGAATCCTCCACATACACTGCTGGTGAGAATGTAAGCTAGTAGAAGCACGAGGGAAATCACGATAGAGGTTGCTCAAAAAAGCTAGAAGTTCCATTTGACTCTGTTATTTCCCTTTTAGATATTTTCCTTAAAGAGTTAGGGGCGTCACGTTACAGTGACACATGAATACCCAGGCTTAAGCGGCACAATTCATACTAGCAAAACCGTGGAAGCAGCTTATCTGCCCATCAACAGATGAATGGATAAAGAAAATATGGTATTTTTACTTAGTGGGCACCATCCAAGTAAAGGAAGGTAAACCTGAGCCGTTCATAGCGGGATGCATATGCCTTAAGACCATAATGGTGAGCGAAATAAAGCAGGCACACAAGCTTAAATATTTCATGGTTTCACTTATATGAGAAACCCAAAATATAAATAAAGAAAAAAATAGAAGGTTGATAACAGGAAGAAGGGTGATAGATCTTTCTCAGATAGGAAGATCAAGAGCAGGAGGGAAAGGAGGGAAAAGGAATCAGGATGTGTTATATGCATGTACCAGTTCTCCACAAAGAATGTAATCATTGCATACTGCAAACATGTACTAACAAAAAATAATATGAAATGTGAATTTAGGCAGTGTATATATTTGTCACTTTTTCATTACTGCAACCAATCTGTGATTTAAAGAAAGAAAAGTTTTTCTTGGCTCCCAGTGTGAGTGCTCTGTCTGCAGTCGGCTGGCACCAGGGTAGATTCAGCACAGTAGGAGGCCTGGTGGAGCACAGAGGGACAGAGGAGCCGGTGTTACACCCGCTTCCAGGATGCTCCTCTGATGGCCTCCTTTTCCTATCAGGCCCTCTCTGCTAACAGCACCATCAGCTATGAACTCATGGATGGTTTAATCCACTGATTAGTACAGGGCTCACGTGATCTGAGCATTTTCCCTATCTCCACATCGGAACATAGGAGACTCTGGGGGGACATTTTATTCTAAATCATAACGCCATGCTGTCTATAAGGATGCACAAGTCTATCACAATACCCAGGAAATACCAGTCATATTCTTCACAAAACTGAAGCAAATGCTCCCAAAATTTCTAGGGCTACATAAAAGACCTCAAGTAGCCATAGGGATCTTGAATGAAAACAATAAAACAAAACAAAAGCTAGATTCATGATATCACTTGATGTCAAAATATACAGGAAAGCTATAATAATCAATTTGTAGAAATGCCAATAAACGGAAAAGAATTTCCTGAAGTTGGTCCATGCATTTATTGCAACTGATTCCTGACAAAGGTGCTCAAGACCCACCTGAAACTTTAAAATCATGATTTGAATCATGAAAGGACCTTAGCTAACCTCACTTTTAAGGGAGATTTAACAATGTTATACAGATCTAACCAAAATCAAATCACTGATTTTTTTTCCCAAATGGCCCTTATTAATGATTTATCATAGATGAATGCTGTACACAGAGACTCTCAAAGCTAACTTGGTATCTAATTTATTTCTAACTTGCAAGCAGGTTATTTTTCAATCAGCTCATGGCGTTATACATTCCAAACCCAGCAAGGAACATGACTGTCTTGGCAGCATGTTTGGAAGTCTGCACGTAAGCAGTACATTATCCACTACTTCATTTTCCCATCTATTGCAGAACACCCTACTCACTGTGAATTTCCAGAGACCACCGATGTCATCGCTCCTCTCAAAACAGGTGGGCTCCAGCCCCTCTTCCAGGCAACACCTGATGGAGGCCAAACCGCTGACACCAGCTCCGATGATGGCCACTCTCTTCGCCATGACTGCCTGTGTAGAGGCCCAGAGGTCACCCCCAGTAAAGGCACTGCTGAGGTTTATTTTGCTATTACTTTTTGGTGAAAAAAGAAATCTTACAATTGCACTCCAGAAAATAATTTTTAAAATATGGGACTCTTGTGAGGAATAAAACCACATACTTGCCTCTCATTTCTTTTTTTGTATTTTTTAGTAAGGGTCTACAGGATCTATAGGGTCTCACTACATAGATCGGACTCGTAGTGATTCCCCTGTTTTCAGCTTCCCAAGAGCTAGATTACAGGCACACGCCACCATGCCCGGTCTCAATCACCATCTCTGTGCGCCCAGAGGTGGGGCCGGCACCGCAGGCCGGGGATCGAACCCCTGGTCACTGCTTCTGCCTAAACAGGTGCTTTAATCCCCTGAGCTATTTGGCCAGCCTTTGCTTCTCATTTCTGAAGAGAATATTTTCCTCACAAAATTAGGTATTTTGTTCTTGGTCAGATTTGCAATATGAAGAGATTGAGAATCTGGCATATATATTTGTCTCTTATGCTTTGCTGTTGGGTCATTTTCTCTCTACCAAAGAGAATGTGCAAGAGAAAGAAGAGATTCACAACCAAATCACATAGACCATTCATGTACACATGGCCGTAATATACGAGCTAAGAAACAAACAGTACCTCTATACTTTTCCATATACATAGTCATCCAGTTATAGTGGGTTGGTTTCAAAATAATCTGCATATGCTCAATTCTTTTATATAAAGTGGGCCTGTAATCTGCATCTCACTTGCACACATTCACCTACTTTAAATCAATTCAAGATTTCTTGTAATACCTGCTACAATGTAAATACTACATGAGGAGTTGTCATCATGTATTAAGAAATAGTGGCAAAGAAAATACGTCTGTGTATGTTGCATAAATTCTAGCCTAAATACATGTTCAGTCCGCGGGTGGTTGGATGATCGTGCGTGGAACCTACAGATATTGAAGTCCAACTCTGAATACGTACACACACACACACACACACACACACACGCACACACCCCTGTACCTCATTTTACCTGACATGAATACAATGTTTATATTTCTACATGCCATATAATCACCTTTTTATTCATAACATTTATTTTTTCTTTTCAAGTAAAAAAAAGTCATTTTCTCCAAAGAACGTCTTCCCAATAGCTGTTGCCCTACTCTCTGTCTCTTTCAGGAAAATTACATTTGCTAGCCTTTTCCTGTTCCACGCACTGTTTTTTCTTTTTCATTTTGGACAAATGCACATGGGTGCACAAAGCCCAGCACGAACCCTTGCCTGGGTGACATGTCCTTCTCATTTCAACCACATGTACTACATACCTAGGGCATGCTCTTTCCATATTTACCAATCTGAGCCTCCTCCCCTCAGCACTTCATAGGATCATTCCTTCCCCTTTTATACCTTTTCTTGGTCGGCTGTCTTCTGTATATCTAACTCCTGCCTGAGTCTTCTGTGCAATGCTGAAGAGAAAATTTTCCAGCAAGCCTACATTTTAGGGGCAGGTGTTACAAAAAGGGAGGAGCTCCTCTTAAAGAGGTATTCATATTTTGATCCCCGAAAGAGTGACCCCATGCCCCAGGGATGTGTGGGAAGAAGGGTCAGTTTCTGTGGTTCCACAGACCTGTATTTCTGTTAGCCACCCTCAACCCAATCTATGACCACAGTCCTGGATCCTCATCTCTGGGGTCAACAGTTTCTCCTGGTGACTTTTTCATTGTCTACTACATTTCATTATGTGTGAAGTCAACGTTCACCTGAGTTTCTTTATTCTTAGTTCTTGTGTGTATGTGGTGCTCCAAATGATGTTTAAACACAATGGCTGTTCTTGGAGATAGCTCCACAGTGGAGATGGTGTATCGTCAGCTTCCCTGTCACTGGATACAATTCCCAACACTCTTAAATTAAAGGAGGAGAGGTTTAATTCGGCTCGTATTTTGAGGAGATTCAGCCAATGCTCGGCTGTCTCTAAGGCATAAACCTCATGGCAGTGAGATAGGATAGAAGAAGTAAAAATACACAGAAAGAAGACAAGGAAAATTGGAATTTAAAAATTGTACTTTTAAGAAAACCTGCAGCTTCAGGACAAAAAAGTTAGTCAAGCTTCATTTAAAAACTGTTCTCCTAAGACATGATAATCCTGGGAAATTCACTTTCACCAGCCAAGTGGCCCTTTTCACTTGTGAATAGACCATCTCTTTTCACCTATAAATTGCGCACACACACACACACACACACACACCTCAACTTGGAACACATGTAAATGGTTTACATTTTGACATAGCCTACCAGATGTGTTGGACAAAGGAACATGCATCCTAGGATAGCTGTCTTTTTAAAAAATAATTTTTAATTAATTATTGGGTATAAGGTCTCACTATGCATCTTAGATTTGTAGTGATCCTTCCATGTCAGCTTCTTCGGCACTGGGATTATAGGCATGTGCCCTATACCTGGTTTCGGTGGCCAGCAGGATGCACCTGGGGATCCAAGGTCAGCCCGGCAGGAGGTACCAGGGATCGATCCCAGGTCCTTGCACTTGCCAAGCTGGCACTTAGACTGCCATGCTATCTCCCCAGCCCTAGGATAGCCATCTTAAAGACACTCTTGGCTCCATAAATACACCCAGATACAGATCATAATGTCCCTTTCTCATCAGGGTTGTACTCTATTTCTATTTGAAAGTGTATAATTTTAAATTTCTTAATACTCCCTTTATGCTTCTTATGGATGTTTCCTGAAAATTCTTTTGCCATGATGGGAGTCAGTGAACCTATACGTTAATTCTACAGATAGGGTGGGTTTAAGAACCTCCCTGGCATATAATGTTTATATTAATTGAGGTCATTAGGTTTCTGAACATGGCGTAATATGAGTTGAGATTAATAATATCAACAAGAATGAAAATAGGTTAGGGGAACTGAAGGAGGATGGAAGGAGGGGGAAGGGTGGGCTAAGGCTTTTTTTTTTTTAAGAAACAGCTTTAATATATACATGTAGCCACTCCCCAAGATGATTGTAAACTGTATGAACAAATTTTAAAAAGGAAACTTCTTGGATCCTACATGGTGACAGTGGAAGACCACAGTGAAGAAGAACTGCTTAGAACTTGCACTTGGAAAGCAGAACTGGGGTGCAGTGCCAGGGAGGATGGGTCCAGGGACCACATACCGTGAGACCACATCTCCATTACCCACCAGAGACACCCAGGAGTCTGCTTTACTAATCCCATACGCGTACCCCTGTCTAATCACACTGACACAGTTGAGCTTGTCTACCACAGACGCCTTCTCCTGTCCTGTAAAAACCATTTTGAGCTTGCAAGTCATGTGAAAATACGTAAGTGCACCTTGTCTTCTGGTTTACCTCCGTTTTAGAAAAATGACACAATTCAAGTGGACTCTTGTGCAGGTTGTTGCTGGTTTTCTGTGACGCGATCTCACAAGCTTAAAGTAAGAGCGTTGTTTTGTTTTGTTTTGTTTTGTTTTTTTGAAGGTATTTCTCTAGAAATAAATACTCTGGCTAATTGACCCTCTGCACGGATCTCCCTCTAGTGGGTAAGGGTATTTACTACACTGATGTTTGCCTCAGAGAGACAGAGACTTATTTTCCAATTAATTGGGTCTTGGCAAGAGATTGTACTCGTTCTTTTGCAGCATCACTAAATTATCACTTCCACCCATTTATTTGTCTATTTATTTACAGACATAAATACCAACTCTTCAAGTAGAGTTGAGTAGGTTTTTAAAGAACAGCAAAATAAAACTAGTATTATTTCACCATCGTGGTAGGTTTGTATTGCAATAACAAAACATCTGAGGAGAGGACCAAAATGGCAGTGTTAAGTGGTAGAGACAGAGCCTCTCTGAAGTGGCTGTCCAGATGCTGGAAGATGACAACATGGGGAAGACAAGGAGGACGGAAGTGGGTCCTCTTGACTCAGATGGGATCTGAGATGTGAATTAAAGCCCACAGAGAGCATGAAGAGAGAAACTCCATGAAGACAAAGGAGGTGGGTCACTGAACCTGCTCCCTGAGATAGGATGCACTGCACAAGAGAAGCAACTCAAGCCTGCACACACACAGTGACTTCCAATGGCCCTAGGGGCCTCCCCAGAGAGCCACAGTAGGTGAGGCGAGCAGCGGACATGAAGGACTCCACTGTCTGGCAGTGAGTGCTAAGGGTTCAGCAGACCCACTTGGGAGAGCTATTGTCTGTAAGCCATCTTGGAGTGAGGCTGGTTGAGCTCAGAACTCAGAGCAGCTGCCAGCTCCATCGGCAGCTCCCAAGAGGCTCAGGTCTGGAGAAGGTGTACTGATGACTGCAGGCCAAATGAGTCTGGTCTTGGCCAGAAGGTACAGGCCTGTTCAGTTATCCACTACCCTTCAAAAAAGCTACTGCTGTCTTGCTGGGATAAATCAACATGGATAGAGACTCTGTGTCCACACATTTTCTACCAGTAACAGCAAAGATAAACTTGGAAATAGACTTTTATCTTTTGATTATTTTTCTCTCTCCATCTCATATTTTTGTTATTATTGTTATGTTGTAGTTTGCTTTTGTTTTTTGTTGTCTGTTTTTGATTTTTTTCTCCTTCATTTTTTTTTTT